TATATGAAATTAAATGAAATAGGTAAATAAATAAATATAATAATGTACTCTAAAAGTCTCAAGTACCCACTAATAATATTTTAAATTACAACAAAATACCTGAAATTGTTATTCTTGATTTTAATAATGTAGTTTTGTCCAAATTAACTTAAAGCGACTGTAGAAATAACTTAGTTTATAAAATATTTAGATTTTTTGGTTACAGGATGGAATATTTATGAGAATCCTTGTTTTAAATTTTCTATTCTTCTATATATAAATTGAACATTTTAAAATTTTTAACTATAAAATAATTTGAACATTTTTGAGATTTTGATACATTTTGTCAACATTTGAACTTTAAACACTTATTAAAAAAATCATGCTTATGGATCTTTAATACCGTCGATTGGGGGAACATTGTCCCAATATTTTATGTTTTTTTAAATGTCTTCCAAAATTTGGAATGATATTTTGTTAAAAATTATGTATATTTGTATTTTCCGTCTTAAGTATGAGTAAGCCAATGTATTTAATAGTATATAAAAATTTTAAATGTTTACCTTATATCAAAAATTTTTTTTGGAAAATTTGGGCCAAAGTTACCTGTAAATAGTGTAACTATGTCCCAAGTGTTTGAACTCATAGAAAATGATGTATTTAATGACTTAGGCCAATGTTAAACTACTAAATAAAAACAAAAATAATAAAAACATAATTTTTAAATTTATTTTACAATTTTATCTTTGTTTAAAGTCGATCTAATAGCGTTTGTTTATTAAAAGGAAAAATTCCACATTACTTGAAACCTGATATTAAATTTTGCCCTGCATTTGTCTTAATGTTATTAATTAATTCGCTTAATAATGTTGGAAACAAATCTTTGGGAATCGTTGAGTATTTGGATCCAGTTTTAGATTCTTTCCATTTGGTTAGAATATTTCTCCATACTTTTTTCATTGGAGCAAAAAATGCCACATCAAGAGGTTGAGTAAGGTGGGTTGTGTTAGGTGGTAGGCAAACAAATTTTATATTATATTGGTCACAGAGTTGTAAAACTTTAATGTTTATGTGTGACACAAGATTGTCTCCGATTAAAACGGTTGGATTATCTTTGCTGCTCGTTGTGTCATCCGACCAGAATTAATTTCTTGCAAACATTCGTTTAATACTTCGTCCGAGTAATTGACATAATGTCTTGTTCCCAGAGGTTTCTTTTTTATTCGTGCCATATTTTAACGTTAGGATTGAAATTGATTTCTGAAATTTAAAAAATAACAGGTACCTATTACAATTAATTAAAAATAATGGTTGGGTAACATTAGCCCATGGATGTCTTGGGCCAAAGTTAACCCAAATTTTGGGACAATGTTTGACAAAATTGAAAATCACGTGTTAAAAAAAATTGTAATAACGATTTCTTATTTTAATGTCAATTTCTTATGTCTTAACAAAGTTGTATAATATAGTGTACACTTACTAAATTTCCAAAACGTTGTAAGTCAGAAGTCTGCCACACGAATAAAAGTTTGAAAACGGTATTTTATCGTTAGCAAGACGTGATTTTTTTTCAACACTGATAAGAAAAAATGATAATGATAACAACATTATAACCGGGTTACAATTAATACCAGATAACAGAGCTACACAATGACACTATAAACAATGATTTCGGATTATTGGCTTATCAGTTATAACGTTATGAATCACTTTCCAACGAATGGGCCAATGTTGCCTGCGAAAGGCCAATGTTCCCCCAATCGACGGTACTTCTGTTTTTCGCAATATTGAAACAGACAAGATCATCAATAAAGTAACAAGGAACTCAAAAACATTAATCAAAAATGTAAAAAGTAGTGTACTAATCAATTAATTAGTGATGATAAATACATTTGTATAACTAAATATACAAGGATGAGTGTATAATTTGTTTCATAAAAGGTAAACATTTCCCGTGCCGAATTTAGATCCCAGACTAAATACTTATGAGGAACCTTGTATTATATTTTCAAGCTTTTTGACTCAACAAATATAATTTTATTGACATTTATAGAATAAAAACTAGGTAGGTAAAAAAAATTGACTAAAATGTCTATAAATAACTCAAAACTAGTCAACATTTTTTACTAAATATTATTATGTATAGAAAATGATAAAATAAACATTTGATGAAATTTCAAATACCTGTGGACTATGGTTTTTAGTTTTTGAATAACAACATAATAAGAAAATCGTTGTATGAGAATTTGTTAATTTACTGGTGAATATCCAATATCATCAAAGATCAAACGGTTCTTTAAAATTTCGTTCTACATTTTTTATCGACAATAATTTTTAAAAAAAAACAAATATAATTTTTTTATTTTCTTATGCTCTATAAATATCTCAAAAATAGTTCCAATATTTTGAAAATTTTATATTGCATAGAAATTGTTAATATAAACATTCAGTGAAAATGTAAATATGTAATGTATCTACGATTGTCGATTATATTTTTTTTGAGTTATACATTAAAAAACAAAATCAAGATTTGAGTAAAAATCGCTTCTTTTCCTTAATTTTTTATTTGTTTTTCCTGATGTTTTTGAAACTATTGGGAATTTTTTTACTTTTAACACAAGTATACCTACTAAGTAGATTCACTTTCTTGTTTCTTACCAAAAAAGACGCTGTTGAAGAAAATCGAAGAGTTTTTACCTACTAAAAAGTCAAAAGGTGATGAGAGACACACAACATTGTAAAATCAATAGGTACATTCATCGCTGAGCTCGGAATCTAAATAACAGCATACCATCAGTAAATAATAATGGACAAAACTGAATAGTTTATGTTCTTTTCAAATTAATGTTAATATATTGTACATGGAAATAAATAATACTGTTTTATTTTGTGTTTATTGTTTAGTATATTTCACATATTAAAGTGTATGAATATTATTATATAATAATATTGAATATAAGAATAAAGATCCACTGTTATTATAACTTATATACCTAGTTATATGTATAGGTACCAGCAGTGGCGGCGTGAACTATTTTATTTTATGAGGCAAGTATAAATGCTCGACCACTACCACCTAAATTTTATCACACAGACCCGTGGGGACTTTGCCCCAACACCCCCAATTCACAATTCTACAACGATAATATACTTTGTTGTGTTAATATCAGAAATATAATAAAATTATTATAAAATTAGTATAATTAATAGTATTAGACATTAGTTGACCATATTTATTTATTTATTTTATTTTTTATTAGGGTTAAGGCTTCGACAACTTAGGTCATTAGCCTGTGGTACCGTAGGGGAGGGTACTGTAGATTTGTTGCACGTGTGTGTTTGTTTTGGCAGAATTTTTTATTTGGGGCACCCGTAGGTATTTGCCATGCCCGGGTGGGAGATGGCGGCGCTTATTCTCCGTGACTTGCCCAAAGAAAATTGCCGCCCGCGACCAAGGAAACGAGCTGGCACCAGCTGTGTTAGACCACTCGGTGACTCCGTCCCCTTGACCATATTTCATATGTGGTTTTTAATATCCGTACCCCTGGTACCACCACCTAATTGGTCGTGAGGCAATTGAAACATTTGAAACACGCTATCATGCCGCCACTGGGTACCAGGTTATTTTATTTACAACAACAACATGGGGATAGGTAATAATATATTATCCTATCACAAATTTTTTGTCAGTTATTGCCTATTGGTAAGTTTGTTGATGATGATGACTTGACGGTCCTACCGGAGTCCGCCACCTTGGATCTCACTTTCTGAAGTGCCTTTTCAAGAGGAATTTTCAGCCCACAGCTCTTTTGTCCACCACGGCCGGAGATATCCCAGGCGCCCACCGAGATCCTCCCTTAGATGTTAGACCACTCCAATACGCTATAGCACTCGAACAGACTACAGAGTGTGGCCGACGGTGTCGGCGTCGCCATTGCAGTGATGGCAGCCGTGGCCCGTCAGTACTTGGGTCATGTGATATGACAGAGGCACCTTCGGGATCGTTCTCCCAAACATTGAAGCACCTAACAAATACTAATGTTCGGAATCGCTTGCCGTGTCCACTGCGCCTTAGTCGTGGAAGACCATCTCGTTTGCCACTAAGTAGGTACCTGAATAATGAATTACACATTGAACTTCTGGAATAGATTTACTTGAATTAGACGTACGACAAAAAGATTTTTAATGTAAGTAGTGTTCATACTAATAAACAAAGGCTGACATTAACTTGTTAAAAAGTTATATTTTTAAACTTTTTAACATAACTAGTTAATTAGTTTTGTTTTTAACTTATTAAGTTATTTATTCAGTTAACATTTTTATTTTTGTAACTCACCTTTTTATAGTATTCATTATCATTGCCGTGCAGTTAAGTAAATTTTCTTTTCGTGTCATGCTGAACAAATTAGACAATTCTGATTTGATGACTCTTTTTCGATTTTGATCATTTTTTTCTAATTGTATATTATAATAATCTATTTTTTTACACTATTTTAAACACTTAAACATCTTGATAAATGTTTGTATAAATCAAAATACTTTCGCAGTTTATGACTTAAAAATATTGTAACTCGAAATAAACTTTTTTTTAACTGAGTTAAGTTAAGTTTATTTTCTATTTCAACTTTAAACTTTACTATCTATTTAATTTTTTTTTTTGTTAACTTTTAACTGAACTGAAGGCAATTTTATTGAATTAACTTAACTTACCTGAGTTAATTTTCATTAACTTGCCCACTTTTGCTAATAAAGTAAATAAAACTAAATTTACTGTATCTATGTAATTGTCTATAATATTATAATTGCATTGTAATACTTTATACTTGTCTTTGCTGGACTGCCTGCTGGTACCTACCTACAATGGTACCAATATATTATTCTTCTTCTTTCGGAGAATAGATTTATTATTTTTTTTTAATGTTAAGTCAAACAAAACTTAATATACTTAGGTAGCTATTATATAGGTTATAGGTATTAGGTACCTATATAAAAATAAACAAGTATAATTGGAATAAAATAGTTTATTTTTCAGTTACAACTTGACTTCCAGAAACAATATCAATAAGATCTGACGTGATTTTAAATTGTCTTTTGCGATTATATTCCAAAGATAATTTTTCATTCAATGACTTAACATTTTTAGAAGCAGCATCCATAGCTATCATACGAGCAGAATGTTCACATAAGGTATTTTCTAACATGGCAAAAAATAAAAGTGAAACAGTAGAAAATTCAATATAACTTCTCATATTTTCTTCTTCTACTTCTTCTAAACCAGCAATATGAGCTACTGTGAGAAAGAAGTCTGTGTTATAAATAGGGATCCAATCAACTTCTGACGTGCCTTTAGTAATAATATGGTTGTAATATATCTGGCAAGCAATAAATTCTGCGTAATTACATTCATTGAATATTTTTGAAGCTTCTAGAAATGTGGGATTATCTTTTCCTATTTTGAAAGCTGTGAATAAAATATTGGATTTATGCGTCCTTGCTAACAATTCCTCTGATTTTTGACCAACACATACGACTTTTGCAAGTTTTTGATCAGGTCTGTCCAGTTCTTGTTTAACTTTTTTCACGACATCCGTATGTAAGCCGCCACATAGACCTCGATCAGACGTGATGGCAAATATGAGATGATTTTCAATGTGGTCGAGCATGTTGATGTGTGTGTAATGTTTATAAAATGATAGAGTACCATGGCCAAACGGACGTACGTCCTTCAACAGGCGCTCGGTCTTGGCCAATTTGGCAGCTGACACGAGTTTCAGGGACGAGGTGATTTTATTGATGTTTCCATATGACTGTATGCGTTTCTGGATGGATCTCAGAGACATTTAGTGGGATGCAATAAATTACGTGGGTAACCTATACGTAACACAAGACGACGAACACGATGGTCTAGAATCTAGAGACAAGAAAGAGTAATAGAATAAATAAATTGTGCTCAGATTAGGAACATAAAGTTATGCGTGACGACTTTATAAATTATAATATTCGTAAATGGAACGGGCCAGAGGTAATACCGACGGCTCAGGTTTGCGATCCCTATGTGCACCATGCGATATACTAGTGGATCATCATCATCGCATTAATTGAATAAATTATATTTATCAAAATATAGAAAAATATACATTTTTTGCTCACCACTAAGCCGACGACTACTAGGATGCTGTGACGACACACGGTGACTATGCTCTTTCCCTGTTAATACAACTTACGTGTGCAGCACGTGTGTATAAATGAAGATCACCATCGACGAAAAAACAGAAATATTGAAAAACTATTGAAATCAAACGGACAGAATTAAAAATAGTAAAAAAGTGATCACTTTCAAAGCATTTTGACGATATTCTGTTTATACGTAGTGCAGGACAACGGAATGGAATGTAAACAAACATTATAGTAGGTATACCTACTTGGCTACTACCCAAAGGTAACTTAACATTTATAAAAACACTAAACAAATTAAAAATTTGAAATTTCTAAATCTATATTATATCCATCATTGTATCGTATATATTATAACTAAATACTAATCTAAATATTTATATATCTATTATTTTGTAAATGTCATCGAGTATTGAAAATTATAATTTAAATAATTGTGCAGCAATGTGTCTACTATTAATATTTTTGTAATAATAAAATAAGTAACAGAAAATGGTTCATAAAAAATGTTTGTCCTTCTGTTAAACATTTTTTTTAATTTCTGGTAAAAAAAATGAATGAGAATTTTTTTACTATATATGTTCAATATAGCCTCGTCTTAAAATTAAAAATGTTATGAATTTTTAACTACAAAATAATTTACATATTTTTGTGTTTTTGATTAATTTCATAAACATTTAAAATATAAATGCTTATAAAAGAAATTGAACTACCAACCTATATATTTTAGATATTTTTAATTGCTATATAAGTACCAAATATTATTAGAAACTTATTGTATCGAATTTCCAAGCATTATTCCACATAAAAAAATTGTATCAAACATAATGGAAAAAACCCTAATAAATATAGCTAACATTTTAAATGATAGCATACCTACTGCATAATGATTTGCAGCTCAAAAAGATACAAAATATTCAAAATAATTTGAAAATAACTTGGAGTTTTTTTTTGTTCCCTAGCCCCTAGGCCATTATAGTACTAACAAGATCTAATTTTTCTACCTGAAACCACTATCAAAGGTAAATATTGAAGCAGTTTTACTATACTATTCAAAAAGCAGTTATAAGTCTAGACGCGGAGTACGTAACCATAAAGGTGGACCTGCAGGGCCAAACCTACGTTATATTTACTCGAGCCTTAGACCAGCCCAACCACTTTTTAACCCCACATATTAACTATGTTCCAAAGAAAAATGTACTTATAGTGAATAAAAATGTGCAAGTATATATAATATTATTATATTTAAAACAAAAATGACCTATATATCGAAATATCAAGTACAATCAGAAAATATTAGCCCACCCTATACCTAAGTATTTTCTAACTACGTACCTTGTATGACACCTTCAACCTTGATAAACAAGTAAAAATAAAAATACCTACACTATAAAAGCAATACTTTCAACACCCCGCGGTTAGGATCTAAAACGGCACTCCCAATTTCTATATAGCTGCGCAGCCTGCGTCTATGAAATTAAATTAAAAATGTATCACTTTTATTGTAATAAATAATAATGTAATATCCAAACATCCAATGCATTTTATTCTATAAATTATAATCATGATCATCATAAAGACTTATTTGACCATGCTTCGTCAGCCATTTCGTTACCTTTTATTCCTACATGGAAGGGTACCCACATAAATTCAAAGGTTTTCTGGGTGTTGATTTATCTGTTGAAATATCAAATAATGAATATATATCTTCCCCCCAGTCCCCACACAATGAAAATTTCTTTCTGTACTCTACGCCACTGACTAAATACAAATAATATTTTGAAAATATTGACTTGGTACAAAAATATTGCATAACGCAACTTACTTTTTGATTGACCCTCGTATTAATAGGTAGCTTTAAATTGTATACCTAATATGTATAATTCAACTAAATTATTACAATATGAAGTAACGACTAAAGAGTGTTGAATAATGGTAAATGGTGTAGATAATTATTATTATAGGATAATAATAATAATAAATATTTAATAGCATAATAATATAAATAATATAATGTATAGTAATTATACACGAAAATACGAAATAGTAATTATAGTAATTAGTAACTACCTAGTAGTGTATAAAATAAATATTAAATACAATTTAACTTACTATTGAAGGTATATATTTTATATTAGTAATTTCAAATATTAATATTATTTTATTTAATATTTCTGTAGCTTACAGGTACCAATGTATAAGTTATAAGTATAATTCCGTAAAAAATGAAAATCTAATATGTTTTGTTATTTTAAATAAGCCGTAATAAATATAATTACAATAAGGTGTTTTTAAAAGTTATAATTAGATACCTAATAATTTATAGATATTAGATACTTTACTCACAACTCACAAGATCAACAAATAGGGGGCAAGTGGGTGTTGCTCTGCTGTACTGCATGTGCACTGTGCAGTAGGTTACAAGATGGTCACTGTAATGGATGGTATTAAATTTGAATTCAATGATAAAATATCGTATAAGGAAGACGATTCTGAGCGAAGACTGTCAGTCAGCCTATGATATATTGATATTACTAAGTATATTAATTGATGATATTATTCAATTATTGTGAATAAAGTAATTTATATAATATAACCTATTTAAGTGGAACCTTGTTGTACATTCTCAATCTCAATCCTTAGCTAGTCTTGTTGCATCTTGTCGCAATCGTATATTCCTTAAGTCTTAACTAGATTCACTTTCCCATCAAAAAAGATATTGTTGATGAAATGAAAACCGAAGCAGTTTTACCACAGAATATAACAATGGTTTTACTGCCCCCAACGGCGGTGACGGACACAAAAAAAACACACATCATTATAAAATCAATACATTCATCTCTCCGGCCTCCGCTCAGAATCTAAAATATTTCGAATGGTTGATATTATATTAAACGAAAAAATCAATAATTATTAGACAGGTAGTTTATGAATATACATTGTTAATTATTTCATTGTTTCATAGTATTGTGATTTGTGGCTCATTCAGTTTGACAATTCGGGAATATTTATTTGGGTGGGTGTAAGTTCCTACACGAGAATTAATCTTTTTTCGATGCCTAGCAAGTAGCAAGCATGACGAAATATTGTTAAAATAATAATGTAGTAATAATTACTGTCTTAAAAAAATTACGAGTAACGAGTAACGACCCTGATAACGAAAGATCAAACCACATGAAACTATCAAAATCAAAGTAACCAAGCTATTTCGAGATAAGGAATACATTATATATTATTTATCTCGATGCCAAACTATGAAATATGATAAATACTAAATAGTGAATTCTGGACTCTGGTATTCCGTAATTCCGCATCTATTCAGTCTTAGACCACGACTCACGGTTCACTACTATTGTAACTATCGTGATTTGGACTAACTGTCTAAGCTTGGATCATTTATTAATTTATCAAGTAAAGCTTAAATCAACTTAAGCAAATAAATAGTAAATACTAATTGATATTGTGATTTAAAATCACTTTTTTCTTGAATATTTTACAGAACTTAATTTTCAATTTTGCAATATGCCTCATTTCCGTTTGGAAACAAATGTTCCCAAGTCTAAAGTAACACCAGAATTATTGAAAAAGCTTTCTGCAGCTGTGGCCAAAACTCTTGGAAAACCGGAATCGGTAAATACTAAATACCTACTAAATGTTTTTCATTGTAATTTTTTTTTTTTTACTTATTTTACACTCGTTTTATAGTATGTAGTTGTGACTATTGTGCCCGATCAACTTATGACATGGGGCGGAGATGATAAGCCCTGTGGTACAGCTACTTTAATGAGCATCGGTTGCCTAGGCGTTGAACAGAACAAGAAACATGCAGCTGTATTGTATCCTCTTTTAAAAAAAGAACTAGGCATACCAGATGACAGGTATGTTCACTTAATTCATCTGTCGGTGAAGTAATATAATAAATAATTATTGTTTCTAGATTATACATAACATTTTCGGACCAAAGTTCATCCAATGTTGGTTATACTGGAACAACCTTTCAAACAATTTTAGGATAATTAATATAAGAGGAACAAAAAACTACACTACATATTATGACTCTTTATAAAGTTTCACTTTCTATGATTATCTAAACCTTACAACCAAAACCAAAAAAATTCAACATAGATTTAAATTAAGAAAAATAAACAGTTAACTTATGTATAACACATTGATTTACGGGTATTTTTTATTATTATTCATCCTTAATCATGTCCTTGATGGTTACTAGCTGTATCTAAAGTTATTCATTATTACCTTTCCTTCCTAAAACAATATTCATTCTTTTACCTTATTAACACAGTCAACCATATTTGAGTATACTAGTCATGGCACTAATAGTTTGATCGTAACGCTGGCCAAAATGTATTACATTTAATTACGAGGTACAAGATACAATGCCAATTTCAAGTGAAATTATTTATTAAAACTATATTTTTAAATAATAATGAATAAATATTTATATCATATAAATACTAAATTCCTAGGTAATATTACAACTGTCATTGATTTTGTGGGTCCATGTTCAGTTAATTCATCAAATTAAATAATATTGTTTTGGTAACGCAAGACATTTATAACCACCTAACCTATGATGGGGTAACGGGTTAAACACATAGTTTACATTGAAGGAGGAAGTGTAAGCACTACTGCACTAGGCAGCAGTGATGTAAAGAATACTTTTAAAAATTATTTTAGTAATTACTCAAAGAAGTAATTACTCTTGAAAAGTAATCAACGTAATATAGAGACAAGTACGTTATTAATAATTTTTATTTATTTATTACATTTTAAAAACATTATGTTTTGAACATTTTCATCGGTCATATTGCTTCTCTTTTTGGTCATGGTTGCTCCACACACACTAAATAACAGCTCCACTGAAGCAAACATAATACCAAAGTATTCAATATAAATAAGTATTTAATATAAAAAAGTATTTAAAATACTTCATGCTGAAAGTATTTAAAGTTTTTCAATACTAAAAAAATATCTGTACATATTTACTTGAATAAATTATAGCACTGCTGTCTGCTAGGCAGTAATAGTGCTTTTAGTTGCGTCTACTTAAATCTTACATTTATTTTACCGTTTATTCGTTAGCTATTACTAAGGCCAGAATGTATGCATTAAGACACATAAAATATGGAGTTCTGATGCATAAATATAAAATAAAATACATTCATATTATTATTGCCAAATATATGTCAATATAACCTTATATAAATTTCAAAAAAGGTGGGTAAGTGGATGTCGCTCTGCTGTACGCCTGTACAGTAGAATACAAATGGGTCACTGTAATAGATGGTGTTAAATTTGAATTCAATGATAAATACCATTTTATAAGAAAAACAATTCTTCACTTTCCCATCGAACAAGATACTGAAGTTGAAAATCGAAGGATTATTTGGACTACTGATCGTGTACACAGAAAAAAAAAAAAAAACATATCATTGTAAAATCAGTACATTCATCGTTCCACTCAGAATCTAAAATAATAATGATTATGCATTTCATAGATAAAAAATAGCATTTTTTGTTAGAAGTACTTGTTTAAATAAAATATATTTGATGTGTACCAGCGTGAAGTTATTAAAAATGTTCAAACCGCAATTTATCTAAATTTTTATTATTTTATAAAATATGCAACTTATATTCATTTATTTAGAAATGTACAATCAGTAATAGAGCTATGCATTTTTCTAGAATATTCAAGTATATAGATAAACATTATAATCTACAAATAACTATGAAACATAGATTTTTATTCAGAATTCTTCTAAGTCAAATATATAAAAATATGCATTTTGAGGTTTAATGCCTTTTAAATATTTATTTTACTAAAAAAATACTTGTTTTTTTTAACTGTTATTGTACATTAATCTAAATCAAAAAAGTAATAAAATAGTAGGTGACAATGTGTGGATTTTGTTGAAAACTAGTGTGTGCACTTTTCATTCATCGAAAGGAAATAAATATTAAATTAGTATTTTGTTTGTCATAGTTTAAGATGTCATTTGTTTTAAAGTAATAAATGATTATCATTACAAATGTTAAGTTGCATGATAAATTAATGTGATAAGAAGTTGGTAAATTAGCTATAATTATTTAACAATGAAATTTGTTTTTTCAATAATAACAATTATTCAATCAAACCAATTTATTTAACACATTTGAGATTATATTTTAAAATCAGACACATTAATTTTCTTTATATAATATAATATAATATATAGTATAAAACAAATCATAATTGAACATGAAAGCAATACATTTAATTAATGCACAAGTCTATCAAAAGTGTTTTAAAATATAATAATTCAATAAGTGTTTATTGTATTTTTAATAACACAAGTATAAAATTATTACAGAGACCTGTATAATAAATATTTGAGTATAACTTTTTTTTGGTTTTAACTTTTAACATTATCATGACTAATTTGTTTAAAAAAAAAAAAAAAACAAAATACACAAATTGTAGGAATACAAACAAAATGACGCTACCAGGGAAAGAAGATAGGTGATAAGCAGATTCAGTCTTTTCTTGTTCTGCGTTTTCTTGGAGATGATGGTACTTGCTCTTCATTAGTTTGATCAGCCTCTAATTCAACCTTTATAATTACATAAACATATATAGTTAGAGTAAAGTTTTAATAACTATGTTAGGTCCAGTGTTGACTTGGAAAAGAAATAGTGAAGGTACTCTGATGACACATACAAAATTTGCATACCTAGTAATTACCTACATAGTTAAATTACAAAAAATATAATACTGGGTAGTCTCTTTGGGCCCCCATACTCAACTTTTACACTCTTAAACATATTACCAACATAACTTATTATACCTAAGTATTTTGCTAAAAATATTTGTGGGTATACGCCTTCTGGACGCGGTTGGATCTTAGGTGTCAATGATACTGAATCAATAAAAATTGTTTAAAAGGTTGCGTTCTCCCCTCAACTATACTGCCACTCTGGCCCAAGAGGGAAAATATTGAGGTTTATATGGAAATGTTGAGATGATCCTTAATTATCAGCAAAGAAATATTGATGTCAACGATTATCCTGCACAAATGTATTGTTGTATCAGGTACTTATACACATTTTGTGAAGTTTTTTTTTATATAAGAATGTATTAGGTAAATATAAACTTTGTTATTTTGTAAAAAAAAAAACCTAAATAAAATACCATCTCATGCACCCTAATTTGAAAAAAAGTAGGGGGTAAACTAGAATATTTCAAAATTTAGTTGAGGCAACAGTCCTCCATCAACACGTCAATCACTGATATTAATTTAAAATTATCTTAACATAATATAATTTAATTTTTAGTAGAACATACATTTTCTTCTTCATCATCAGCACTTTTACTATCAACTTCTTCATCTTCTTTTATATCTGCTTCATGTTCTTCATCAGATGCTTCTGCTTCTACGTCAGGTACAGGCTCATCAGTTTTCTTACTCGATTCATTTAAAGAAGTCTTTTCCTATTTTAATAAGAACAATAAATGATATGCACTTAAGGGGATTGAAAAAAAGGTAATTTTACGGTGGAAGAAATATTACTTTTGATGTGCAGCAGGTTATAACTATTAATACAACAGTTACTGCAATAACAACTACATACACAGCCCACAACCACGGGTTCTCATTGGTATATCTAATTACAGCTCCAAATACACTTTCCTAATCAAGAAAATACAAATGTGTTAAAATACAATAAAATAAGGACAGGTATTAATTCATAATATTACAGGTAGGTATATATCGATATACTTAAGGGGAAAGTACAAATATAAGATATAAAGAACTATTCATTAGTTACTTAATTAGTAACTAACTACCTTTAAATATCTTTGTGTCAAATATGATAAATAAATAATCACAGGTATAGAACAATAAATTAAATAACATAACCATAATCCTGGCTTATAATTCATATTCTTGAGAACTCTGCCCCAAAATGTACCCTATAATATATATGTAGATATTTTTGTTTGTTTTCAAATTATTTATATAACTACAATGTAAAGGTATAAATTGACTTTTTAGGTTTAAAATATGTATAAAATATTACCGATTCTTGAGATACATTCTTCTTTTTTAGTGACCATGTTACTTCTGACCATTTTTCAGCATGTACCTCATCATCTGCTATTACGACATTATCAAAATAAATTTTGTCTGAAATAGACCACAATTCAAAACCAACAGCACCCTATAATAATACACAGGAGTTATTTTTATTTATTTATGCACAATTCACATAATGACCTTTAACATATTACACAAAAAATGTAATTATTCATTATTTAAGTAATTTTTAGTTTTGTGTTTTGAGGTGAAACCTCTTAACAGAGACTACAATATTGAAAAGTTTGTAACAACATTATGCTATTATGCTCAAGACACAAAATTAATAGTAATGCATACTACATCCAATCAGGGGTGTCTGAACGTTCCAGCGGCTCAGTATGCATGCGCACAGAGCTCATAACTTATGGCGAATAGAGTCACTGTGTGGTCTCTTTTTTAAAAACTATTAGTTTTTCAGAGTCAAATTGTGAAATGTTTATAATGCATAAATTAAAATAAGTTGCCTTTATAAACTAAATACTTTAAACAGTTTAAAGGTTAAGTTACACAAAAATTTACTCAGACAGCGAGTGCAGTAAGTTTATAAATTATTAGTAAAATTAATTATTATTCTGTACTTAAATATTGTTTGTATAACATTATGTAATTAAGTTAATTAAACCAACTGCTATTTGTGTATGAAATGTATCATAACAAATTAAAAATACTTACAATAGGTGAAGATTTAAGTGGATTTTTATCATAAAAGTAATCAGGATTATGTATAAGCCGAGGAGTCCACTTTCCACGATAGTTTGGATTGTCTGTTAATGGCTGCTTCCATTTGCCTTTGTACTTTGGATTTTTCATTAATGGTCTTGACCAAGGTCCACAACCTGAACGATCTTCACATTTTGGATTATTAATTAAAGGTGGTTCCCATTCTCCATCCATTTCATTATCCCTTTAAGTAAATTAAATTTATTAATAAGTCAATATCACATACAGATTATAATAATTTTTATTTACTTCAATTGACCAAGTAAGTAGGTACATGGATCAATTATACTTAGTACTTATTTTATAGGTTTGTCAAAATTGTACTTTAAATAAATTAAGCCATTGAATAAAATATTAACTGATACTTACCAATCAGTGGGTTTAACTGCTGCTGTATCAGGAATGTGAGTGGGTTCTTCTTCCAACCAATCATCTGGCATAGAAGAAGATTCATCAGGAATACTTTCAGGTTCGCTTTCATCCCAATCATCTGGTTTAACAGCACTTTCATCAGGAATCTTACTTCTTTCATCCCAATCTTCAGGTTTTACATCGTTCTTATCAACTATTTCTTTTGGTGGGTTAATTGGTGGATTAAAATCATCTTCTGATAGTAAATCTCCTTCATATTGCAACTACAAACAATAATAAATTAAACTTAATAAAAAACATTTTTAGAATAGCTTACTTCTTGGTCTAAAAAGAATGAATATGAGTTGTCTGGTTTAACAACTAAGGTATACAAATGAGGTTGATGGTCAGTAAATACAGATTCTTCAGTTTTTAATTTTAAACAGTGTTTTTCAGTAATTGTATTGTTTCTAGGATTTTTATGTCTAATTATAAAATGCACTTTGGAAGTTGGTCCACATTTATCTGGGCCAAACATAATCGAATAAGGAGTTTTATCATTAAACTGAGTTAAATCCTTAATATGAGGACCATCAGTAAGCAACTTTAAATATGCTCCGCCACAAGTATGTGGCTTTTGAAACGCTACTTCATATTGAATAACTAGAGTTTTTCCACCATCAAACTTGAATGGTTTGTCAAGTTTTGATGAAATAGCTGCATGACGACTCTCTGATGCTAAAACTAAACCTCTGTCACCTTTCAGAGGGAATCTTTCTAGTTCTTCAATATTCCATTTACCTAATAAAATATAAATAGTTACAATGATTAAAAAATACATGAAATATTCAACATTTAGGTATCTATAATAAAATATTTTATTCAATTTTTATGGTATTGAATATTATTCCATATTTTGTCATTTATCCATTTAATCCCAAACACTTATTTTTTAGATTTCTTGAAGTATAATTTGGAAAACTGTCTCCCCTCATTTTATAGGTTAAACAAAGAGTATTGTTATGAAATAACTACTTAAGGTAACTACTGAAGTTAATAATTTTTAAATGTAAAATAATTAGAATCTAGAGATTGGTTTGTAAGTATTTATATTTTATCTTTAATTTCATAGGTAGAATTTATAATATATAAATTAATTATTAACATTTCTAGTATTATGGACTACTTATTGGCTGTGGTGTGCTGTCTTGTTTTAATTAATGTGTGTAAATTAATTTAATATTTATAAAAAATTCTAGGCGTGTGCAAAAAAAACAATAAAACATTTATTGATATATATTATATAATAAGCAGTTTACCATCATATTGAGCTAATTCCTCATCAACATCTGGCTTCTTGGAATTAGATTTAATCCATTTTGTGTCCAATAATGATTGATTGTCGAAATTTTCGGCCAGGTACACGCCTACTTTGCTCGCAGTTGGGCTGGTGTAAGGCACTGATTCTACGCTTACATCACTCTGGAGAAGCATAAATTAATTAGGTAAAAATTTTGAATTAATTGTAGAAAAGTGTCGTTGCTTACCGGCGCTTGTTCTTCGCCGAATGCCAAATGCACGACCAGCACTGCTATGCATGCCAGTAGTTTAATTTTGGCCATTGATATCTGCTAGAAACGGACAATATAATGTGTATGAGAAACAATAATATATCCGGAAAAAGGGCGACGAAGAGCACGAGAACCAACAAATAAAAACTTACAAGGTTACACTCGCAAGTCGCAGAGACTAGACGATTTTCCACCCAAATAGTCAAATGTCAAATATACTGATACACAAATGTCTCAAATCGTATAATATTCGTACTATGATAATGAGGAAACCTACGTAACACCACGAATCCAGTAATCTGTGGCAGGGGTTTCGGCAGCGGAAAATGACAAGACAGAAATAATATTACCGGACCGGCATATTGCCGCAGTGTGAGCAACTTACCGTAATACCGTGTTCAGCGATGAATGACTACGCCATTAAAATGATGATGATGTTGATGATGTTGATGATGATGATGACGATAATGATAATGATGTTATTGATATTTCCCCCCACCTTCCCGCTCTTTTTTCTACATTTTTCTGAATCATAACGAAAATTATTTCGAAATTTATAACCGTACCCCGGAGCCCGTGCGTTTCAGAAATTTGTTTGACATGCCCCCCTGACAAGTCAGATACGTTGCTATTATCCTATTATAGTGCTCAATAAAATATGAGAATAATATTTTCAATTAAAATTTTTTAGTTTTTCCAGATGCCGTTTGCTGCCGCTGTTGTCCGCACTGTTGTTGTGACATCATAGGCGTACCACTAACACACTGCGGCTGTTAAGCTGTTTTGGTTCTCACGTTTAAATACGAATCACGATTCGCGATCATTGTTGACTGCCGAGTGCCGAGACCGCGGCCGACTTAACGAACAAAATATATAGGCGGCCTTTTCGCGGTGTTTAGAACAATATGTAGCCTTCGAATTTCCAGCATTTTGACACCAGCAGTCGTAGTTGATTGTCCCCCAAACCCTCCGCGTCACGATGACGGCCAGCACGGACACGGCTGCGGCTTTACCCACCACGAAGGTGATACAGGTGACGAACATCGCACCTCAGGCCACCAAGGATCAAATGCAAACGTTGTTCGGTTGCATTGGCAAGATCGAGGATATCAGACTGTACCCGCAGATACGTGACGTGTCCGTACCTGTCCAGTCACGTATATGTTACGTCAAGTACTTCGACTCGCTGTGCGTAGCCGTCGCACAACATCTCACCAACACCGTGTTCATCGACCGAGCACTCATCGTCACGCCCTATCAATCCTCGGTTGGCGACATACCAGATGAATACAGGGCGCTGGACATTGCCAACCAAGCGAACATCGTGCCTGGATTATATCCCAATGATCCCAAGTTACCGGCGCACGTCGTCAATCAAATCGAAGGCATTCCTCCGAATCAGGTAATTGTCACTAACGATCCGGTGTTGGCGTCCAATGGCTTACCTCCGTACCCACAATTGCCCATCACCTACGATTCTAGACGAATTGAAGAAATTAGGCGTACCTTAGCTGCCATCAACGTGGACGAAAATGTGACTGACGATGAACTTATAGGTTTTTTCCAGAAAGCTGGCGATGTCAAGTATGTTAGATGGTGTAGTAGAGAAAACGATATTACTCGTTATGCTCTTGTAGAATATTCCGAACAAGCTAGTGTTATAGCTGGATTAAAACTCAATGGAGTACAACTCGGCACCCGTCCAGTTCAAGTGACACATGCCACTCAAGCAATTGCTAAACCAATGGCCAAAAGTAATGAAGCAGCCCAAAGAGAAATTGAAGAAGCTATGACTAGAGTTAAAGAAGCTCAAAGTTTGATTTCTGCAGCTATTGATCCTGTCATTGGGATCTTATCTAAAGACAAAAAGCATGGTCATTCCCATCGTAGGTCAAGATCTAGATCACATGGTAGGAGTCGGCGTAGGTCATCATCTAGATCGCGTAGAGGACATTCACGCTCTCGTAGAAGACGGTCAAGATCACGTTCTAAAAGGCGCTCTAGATCAAGGAAAAGGTACAGGAGTCCTAACCGGCGTTCTAGAGATAGAAAAAGGTCACGGTCCAGGAAAAAGTCTAGATCTAGAGATAGAAAACGTAAAACATCCAGAGATAGGCGAAGATCAAGATCTAAATCTAAGTCTAAGTCTAAGTCTAGGCGTCGCTCAAGATCTAGAAGTCATAAAAAAGATAAGAAATATTCATCTAAACGAAAAGAAGATAAATCAGAAAAACGAAAAGAAAAGGACAAAAAAAAAGATAACACCCCACCTATTGTACCAGAAGTTGAGAAAAAAAATAAATCTGCAACGCCTGAAAAAGAGAAATCTAGGTCAGCTACACCACCAAGAAGTAATTCTAGGAGCCCCCGATCATCTAGTAAATCACCAAGGAGAAGTAGCTCGTCTGGTAGAGGAAAGACATCTGAATTAGTTAAAAGCCGTTCGTCTAGTCATATTAGACGAACATTGTCTCCAAAAAGATCTAGGACAAGAACTCCGCTTCGTAAACGGGTCAGCAGGTCTCCTCGCAGAAGTCGGACACCTAAGAAACGCACTAGGAAATCAAATTCATCGCAAAGGCGTACTCGAAAACGTAGTGCTAGTCGTCATAAGTCACGTTCGCCTACCGAAAAACGACATAGACGTACACGTTCACCCATACGTAGGTCACCATCTCCCAGATCACCTCCTCCTAGAAGAGTTACTAGAACTCCCCCATCTAAAAGTCCTCAGTCTCCTGCTAGATCTGTATCCAGGTCACCACCAGTAAGGGGTAAGAGAAGTACATCTGACAGCAGAAAAAGAAGTGAGTCAATAACCCGAAAAAGAAGTTTATCAGTAGATAGAAGCAGAAGAAGTATGTCGATTGATCATAAATCCCGATCAGAAAGTAAAAGTAGAAGCCATACTCCTGGCTCAGCAAGGAGTAGGTCACCTGGTTGGAGAAAAAGTGAATCCGCATCACCACCACCAAATAGACGAAGTACTTCATAAGCTCCATAATCTTAAATTTTTTTATTATGTACTTGTAACCGTGTACACAATTTATTTTAATTATCCAATTACATTAATTAAACAAGATGTACTTTTGCTTTAATTTAATATAAATATATATATGTATTTCGTATCTGATGTATATTATATACAATTAAATTTAGTTTTCTTTTTATATGTTTTTTCCTGTCCTAGTTAAATTCTGTACTATCTAAAAATAAGAAAATTGACAACAGTGAATGTAGTGATGTTCATTAAAATGTATCCTATGTACTGAAAATATTAAAAATATGTTGTAGGACGTAGGTATAAATATATCTTGAATTGGAGTTAACAACTTAAAAATAATATTGTGAATCTTTACATTCAATATAATATTACATAGATACAATTTAAGTATATCATCTAAAGCATTTTTGGAGGGCCCCTCTAAAAATTCAATAAGTTTGTCCAAATGACTCCAATGTATAGTGAATCACATTATAACTAAAAATGGTTTTTTAATGGTAATTACTGAATGAAGCTCAACAATAGTTTCTTAAAAAAAAACGATCTTCTCTCAATTGAAAAATGTTTTATTTAAAATTATTAGTTATAATTATTTTTACATAATATATATTAAATAATAATAATATTCAAAGCACAAATATATTAAACTTAGATTTCAGTTTGGTTTAATGCTGATTCTGAGGCACTATTAACTTTTCTAGTTAAAATATTTAATGCTTCTAAGAAAATTAAACTTGGATCCATTGCTCCGACTGATTCAATTGTAACTGAAAATAAAGAATAATGTTAATTGTTACACCATGACTTGCCAAACAATTTTAAACATTAGTAATTATTTGTATAAATTATTTTCAGTGGAAAATTTAGTTAATAATATGTTACCAATTATTAGTTTTTTATTTTTTTATAATTGACTAAGAATAATTTTTAAATACAATAACATGACTATCTCATAGGCGTGACTAGACTTTGTCGGCAGGGGCAGCCTAGCTAATAACCAGCGCTAACTTATTAGTGAACTAAAAAAAGCCTTATACACCCAATTCGTATTTTTTCAAGCCCCCCTTCACAATGAAATGTTTATATAATTTAAAAAAAGTCCAAATCATCTACAGTGTACTCCTGATTATCCGTAGAATAGGGTGGCAGGACATCCACGGATAAACGAATTCCGTGGATAATCCGAAAAATTAAATTTTATAATAAAAACTAAACTGAAAATTATTATTACATATGTATTATTAAAAAAGATACACATGTATGTACAATGAATGTATGTACGTGTATAATGAAAAATACACGTGTATTAATATTAAATAAGCGTATTTTACGTCATTATCGAGTTATCGGCTATGACAAATTCACAACCCAATTAAACCTATAATGATTTATAATGGAAACAGGAAAGATACAATACGTATATATTTTTTTGTATACATATATGTATGTAGACGATTCCGTAGAAGACAGCGGATAATCGAGAGTAAACTGTATTTACAATAATAATCTACAGTAACCTCAGAAATATTCATCTACAGCCTTGGATTACACCATCTAACTACAAATCAAAAACAATACAACAATAATATCAATAATACCTAGATGCGTACTGTAGGTACCGTCGTCGCCTGTTCAAGTCTTTATGGTAGGTTTTTCCGATTTCGGAAGTCGGAAAATCAATCTTTGTAAGTAAATGGTAATTATAACGATACCCACCCAAAAATCATTTTTAAAAAAAGAAATGTTGTAACCTTTCCGACTTCAAACCCGGTTGACTGGCACCTTTTAAATATTGCAGGGGCAGCCCAGGCACTCTAGGCTGCCACCGTAGACACGCCTATAGACTATCTATATTATTAAGCAGAATTTGAGTTATAGTTTCAAATTATTTTAAACTTGTAACTAATTAATTTTCTAGTTGAAAGAATTATCACTGAATAATAATTGAGTTTTTTGTAACAAATGTTGAAAATAATTTACTACTGTTTTATGAATGGTATTATAATCAGCATTGACACAAAATGTTGCATGTGGATTATTAATTGTTATGTTCTACAAAAATCTTTAATATTATTTATTTGTATATTTTAAATCTTTCAATTTACAAAATGTGTGCGCATAAGACACAAGTATAGCCTATATTTATGGAATTTAATAGGTGCTATTCTACATTATGTTAAAAATAAAGTGTTTTTTTGAAACTAGTATCAACATTGCAGAATTAATTTTAATAAAATAATTGGGGTTAATATTATTTTAAAATATTTTTAGTTTCTCACACTGATTATGAATGATAAAATAACTATTTATGGTCAAATAAGGTATCTGTGATACCAAATTTAAACTTCCAACTTTGAATGCTTATTTCTGTTGAAGATGATGTAATTAAAGATATAATATGATTGACTTTGAAAACTAATTAAATGCATGTTAATTTCTAAGTATTAAGGATTAACAATAATAATGTATTTTCTATTAATTTAATCCAACAGATTCTGTCTCCAATAATAAGTAATAACAACTTGAAAAATTAAAAATACATTCTTATAAAAATATTATCTATATGATAAAAATAAAATGCATATAGGTTATGATATAATTTAATAATTAAATAAATGGTTCTGTTAAGTTTAAAATGTTGATTTTGAAACTAAACAATACAATTATTTAATCAAGATAATTATTTATTTAAGGGATTGGAAATGGTGATTTTCTGTCTTTTTCTAAAACACGTGGAACATAGGAATTTAGACGGGTTTTCATTCCAACGTACCCATTGGATTTGACTAAAAACTAAAAAACTTACATATAAAATGGTCCTGAATTTTGGAAAGTAAAATTTTATTATCAAATTGTTTGTATCTAAATACATTCCTGGAACTATTATCTTTTCGGGAATCTTCTACAAACGCAATAAGGACACCTAAAAACAATAATTTGATTAATTAAAAAAATTATATAGTTTATATAAAACAAATACATACCTTTAACACTTTTCAATCCAATGACACCCTTGGGAAAGCATGATTGAAGTAATACTGCATCATTTCCTTTAATTTCATCAAGTAATTTAATATTTGGCATCATTCTATACCAGGCTGTGCCTAAATATCCAAAATACAACAAATCATTTTATTTATATATTAATATAAAAAATAAAGTGATCTACCAACACGTTAGTCATAAAAATAAAAATAAGAAAAAAAATTATTTAAAAATGCATGTCCTTTTTTTGTTGTGTTATCAACAACGCTGCCAGAACTTCTTGCAAATTATTTAATTTAACTTCTACTTAATACACAATAGGTACTTACAAACACTTTGAAATTTAGCATGGTCTTTAGGTACCCCTTTGACAGCAAACATTTTAAGTTCAATTTCCTGTCCTGGTCTTAACTTTGCGATGAGAATATCATCACTAATTATTCCAACATCTTTTTCCGTGAAAATATCTTTTTGGTTTCCCAATGGCAACCATTTTATGTGTTTTGAGTAAACTAAAATTATTTCATTAGTCTCAAAAAATAATATATATGATTCTAATAAATACAAATGGGGAAATTAGATAACTAGTAACTACTCTGCTGTATAGTAGGTGTTATGTGCATCCAGTTATCAAGTCAGAGTAATGTATGATTTAAATCGAAAAACGATTCCTAAAATTTGAAAATTTCATATTCAGATTATAAGATATAATAATAAATGTAAATGTTTTAACTTAAATTTTAAAACTTTTAAGTGTTATGTTTCTCCAAATAATATTTTTGAATAAAAAAATAAAGGAAATTGTTCTCATTTGTTTAAATATGTAATTTCAATAAAATTTGAACTTTGTCAATAAAATAATAGTTTTTGTTCCAGAAAGAACTACTTACAAAGAACCTTGTATTCATTTTTTAATTTTTTAATCATTTTTTAAACATTTCATGAACTTTTAACTACAAATAATATGCAAATTGATATCAAAATTATAACTTAAAATAAAAATTATTATTGATATACTCTTAACATATTTTTTAAATAGCTATAATAAAAACTCATGAGGAACCCCTAGTATTAAATTTTCAAGCTTTTACAACCAGAAAAAATGTTTTTACCGACATGCATGGAAAATAAACTAAAAATGTCAAATATCTATAAAATATAAATAGCTTAAGAGGTAGCACTCGTGCATGTTGTCTCTAGCTTAAAAATGTAAAACATATCTAAACTGTTTTGCATGGGAAAGAACCGAGAAGGCTAAAGTCATAACACTCATAACACTCTATAGTTACTAAGAAATTTAATTTTCACAACATAAAAAACAGAACTGTGGTGGTAAAATATTGTTTTTATTTTTTCAATATTGAAACTACAAAAAAAGTTGTTGAAGTTTGAAAAACACAACATAATAGATTTTGAAACAATAAATACTTTTTTGTATAAGTAACATCAAAAAAATAAAAACAATATTTCACAGATAATGTTTTGAACTATATTTTATATCTATTTGAATTTATAACTTGGGCTAGTATTTAAAATGTTGATAAAAGTATCCCGTATTTGTTTATTAGTTAATTACTGGTATCTATGGTATTACCGGTTGTATGGTATTTTTGGTAATCACCGAAAATATTGTACGATTCGTACCTCACTAATTATCAAAAATACCATAGCCTCAGTAAATATTAGTACATAATTTAATTTAGTGTTTAATAGGTTCCAACCTGTGATAGGGCTATTATATTATGTCATTACGATTATATAAAAATTAAATTAAATTAAATTAAATTTTTAAGAGTTTGAAGTTCATGTTTTTACAAGATTGGATATTCACTCGATTTCTCATGTAACGATTTTCTTATTTTGTTGTAATTCAAAAACCTATAGTTGTAGATACATGAACATTTTACTGAATGTTTATATTTTCATTTTCTATACACCATACAATTTTCGCTTTTTTTGATCACTGATAATTTCAAATTTTTTTTTTCTACAAATATCAATAAAATTTTATTTGTTGGGCCAAGAAGAATGAAACTTTAAACAAGGATCCTGATATATTGCTACAATAGCAGTTAAATAATATTAATTTTTGAGTTGAATTCAAATTTAATACCATCCATTACAGCAGTAGCGTATATAGAAATATTTTTTTTTTTTTTTGGGGGGGGGGGGGCTATAGTAGATAGAAACTAAATATTATAAATTATAATAGTACATAATAAAATATATTGTTTTTATATTTAAAAATATGTAATTTTTTGGGGGGGGGGAGGTTGCAGCCAAATAGGCCCATCCCCTATATGCATTATAGTCACTACACTTGTAAGTTGTAACCTACTGTAAAGGCAGTACAGCACAGTCACATCCACTTGCTCACCTTTTTTACTTTTGACTCCCAAAAGTACTAACCAGATCCAATTTCCTACCAGATACCACCGTTAAAATGGAAAATCAAAAACTCCTCCAAAAGGTGATAGCAGATATAAAAATAAAAAATATGTCTTAAAATGAATACTTTTATTGCACCAGAATCTAAATTAGCTCAGAATCTAAAAAATATCTTACCTGGAAAACTAATAAACTGTTTGTGGGCTAATGCATCTAAATCCTTTTTTGTACATTTTATTTTCATCTCATAAACTAGACTGTCATGCTCATTTGGTTCAGAATTTTCTGAAAAAAAAGTTAATAATTAAAATACAACACAGCTGTAATTTAAAAATAAAAAAAGAATACCTACCATCTTCTTTCATTTTAAACTGCCTAGGATCTGCTTTCAATGGAATTAAGCCCAATCGATGTGCAAGTATTTCATCGAGTATATAAGATGTGTTCTGATATATATGCACCTTTTCAATTGCCATACTTGGTACCTAAAACATTTTGTGTATGGTAAGTACCTCTAATTATATAAAAATTGATTGGGATTATAAGTTTTTTAATAAGTTTTTAACTAACAAATTGTGAAAAAAATTTGATTTATTATTATTATAAAATTAATTAACATGGCATGCGTACAGTAATCACTTGGTGGCTACTATAAAAAAATTGTTGAATTTTTGGTTTTTTGATTTTAATTATTATTTAATAAATGCATATCATAATTATTAAGTAATACACAATTTATATAATATATATATATATATTATAATGTACAATTTATGACGATTTAAAAAGGAAAGCAGATAGTTGGGGAAGAATGGAGGAATGCTGCCAACCAATCCATGGGGCAGTTAACCAAAACAAAAAAAACCTAACAAATAAGATGCCAGCTAATGTTACTATGTTAATATTTTAGACTTCAATACCTCAGATATAATAACTCTTCTCAAACTATTAGCCACAGCTACATCGATCCCGACGAGATCAAACTCTAAGTCATTGTCAGAGCGACTGATTATATTTATCTTGAAATTCTAAAACATAAATATTATGTTTTGAAAAATTATAAAAAAAAAATTAAACTAATAATACCTATAGGTACTCAAATTAGATATTGTAATATTTACCTTTACAAATTCATCATAATTATATGGTTTAATTTCATTGCCTAGAGTCTGAAAATAAAATTATGAACGTTGTCTATGTTACAATTAATGTACCAACATCATTATTTTGGATTATAAATTAGAAAAACAACTTTGCTTACCCTTTCAATGGAATATTTGTTCATTATTATTGGATTGTCCATTTTATGATAGACGTAAGATGAACAGTAAGAATATGTCAGTAAGTCAGTTACAGATTTGACTATTTGAGATTTTAAATTTTTATACAATGCGTGAATTACACATGCCTACATACCACAGAACATTGAAATAACAAAAAACATGATAACATCGTTCTTATCACTCCGGGAGAACTGGGGTATCACGTGGTATCACTATTGTTCTGTGGTATCACTGGTATCACCTTACAGAACTCGGCTATATTTATTATTTACTCCATGTGATAAACGGACATTTCTTATCACGGTTGTATAATTTTAAATATCAAATATCAATCGTTTAAAACAAAATTTGATACTTTAATTTTTAGTTCTTTTAAAACATGACAATTATTAACTAATTTGTCATGTTTTAAAGTATTTGTTAAAAGTTACAACGTACAAGTGACAAATTACAATAGTTAATTTCGTTCATGAACTATAGTACTATACTAATGAGTAATGACACTACTATAGTACTTCCTGAAAATTTAAATTTGTTAAAACTTCGCGATGATAAAAAGTTTCAATTAATAAACAGTAACTTGTAATTTGTATATGTTTTTATACCAAGTAATATTAAATTACTCAATCGCTGTCCTCTGGTAAGTTCTCAATCTTTTATTTGCTTTACATTCCAATTATAGAAAAAAATGTTTTATTTTATTCATGTAAATAACTTATACATTTTTGCTTTCAATTAAGTACCTACCAAGTTATAAGTACCTATTTATTTTTTTTTGATTACAACTGAATTTCACACTTTAATTGAGTATTTTGTATAATCTTAAGTTCCATATTCCTAAGCAAAATATTTGTTGAACATATCAATGTATAAGTATCAAATATGAACCATTTTCTAATTTATGATAGTAACAGCTAACAAGCTTATACAGAAAGAGAGAGAGTGATGAAATAATATCCTACTTCATTCATCTAGTCTTTAAATAGGCACTAAAATACCTAATTGAAACTAACAAATTAATAATTCCATATCATACTTTAATCTTTAATTACCAGAACTCATTGGTATTGTATCCCTAAACAATTTTAAATTTGTAAAGTACATTCATACTTTTATATTATATTTAATAATTCTTTGTTGCAGATTGATAGTCTTAAAAAAATAATTCTATGATGCCTAATTTGCCTCCATTTTTTAATGGAAAGATTAGTGGTGTTTTAATATTGTCTATATCGAATATATCATGGTATGACAGTGTTGTAAAAAATACCTATGTACAATTCGAATGGACTGGATGCCAAGAAAAACAAAAACTTTTGTAAGCAATATATAAATCAGTGATGTTAAGGGACGCATTCCTAAAGGAATGATTCCTGGAATTGATTCCTTTTTAGAGGAACGAATGAAGGAATAAATTCCATTATTTTTTTAAGGAATAGGAAAGTGAATCAATTCCTTATTTTTAGGAATTGGAATGTAAATATTTGTTCTTCTCGGAAAAGTTAAAAAAAAACATTTGGGGAGAAAAATTAAAAAAAATAATAGACAATTAACTGCAATAACTATTATATATAAATATATTTTACAATTCAATGTTTATAATAAATATATTTTATCATGTCTCTTCATTTTTAATATTATTATTTAACACATTTTTCAGTACATCTAAATATTCTAAGATTACTTATGATATTCGAACAAGCTACAAATCATTTTTACACTATCTATCAACATCCACATTAAGATGTTCAGTTAAAAATTATGAAAATAAAACATTAGCTCATGCGACTATGATAAATTTATCAATAGATCAAGATAACCAACTGATAAAAACTTTACCACTAATGAATAATGAGAAAATAGTTGGCACTCTAAAATTATGTTTTAATGTTCAAACATTCAATGATACATCATTTGACAATGATATAAAAATGTTAAAACAATTTGGAATTCAAGATGAAGTTTCAAAAACTTCAAATGACAAAGAGTTTTATTACTCTGAAATATTGAAACATAGTAAAAATGTAAAAGTTAGACCTATTAGTTCTTCATCATTAAAGTCTAATAAAAGCAAAGAAGAATTAACTAGTGATTATTTAATGGGTAAGATATTGTTATTTATTTTTAAATAGGTACCAATTATTTGTTAGTTTCTTTAACGATTCATTTTTAATTTCGGTAATGTTTAGGCAAAAATATGGCTCCCGATGAAGAAGAAGAGGCACTTAATACATTAAGAATAATGCCAAATAACTCTACTGAAAGCTTAGTCAGTGCAGCTGAAAAAATTGGTATTTATTCACCACCACAGTCCCCATTACACATTCAAGTAATAAAAAAAATTATATTAACATAATAATAGGTACTTTTGACATTTTAGCTGACTAGAATCCACTGACTATTTTTTTGCAAATTAAAGTTATTAGAAAATAATAGTTATATAATAGGAGACTTTAAAGAAAGACATCAGAATTTCAGATTAAGATACTTAAGCCCCTGAATTGTAATTTTCCCAGCAGCCTATTTAATAATATCACCGACTGACCACTATGCATACAAAGTAGAAACCAGCTAACTAAAATTAATTATCTATGCAATTGAAGCCTTAAATAAGTTGTCTTAAATACTTGCCTGGCATACTAACTCTATATTTTCTAAACCTTAAAACCTCAATTATTTCATAAAATTGTTTGTTTTAAATGTTCACTCCTAATCTAAAATTATGATAAATTTTAAAATTAGTAGTTTCTTACCTGTCATAGAACAAAACTGTTTAATTCATCAAATTGTATAATTGTAAATATATATAATATATATGTTCATAGGGCTGTGCCAAAGTTATGGCAGTTAAAAAACATGGCATTAAAAATATAAAAACAATACAAGAAAATTTGAAGAAATCTTGTGAAGAATTCAATAAAGGAGAATTCAAAACCGACTTCTCTAAAAAGCTACGTAAAGGTGAATGATACGTATATCACATTACATAAAAAAGATTATTAAATATTGTATAGGTACTATCTGCATAAGCTTTCTCAACAATTGCAAGTCTATCAAAAATTTGCTAATAGAAAGATTTTTTCTTCAATATTTATTTATATTATTTATATTTTTTTATGGATGATGGATAAAAGTAATTAATTAATTTTGGTTATTGTTTATTATTTTATAGTGCCTGTGCCAAAAGACGATGTACATTTACATTTGTCAATCCTTTCAGTTAATGTTTATCGCTCAGCTAAATCCCTTCAAAATTGTAAGTGTTTATTGTAATTGTATTTAACTTTCAATATATTTACAATGTAACCCCCCCCCCTCCCCTCCTCATGGATCCACCAATACCACATCAATACGCAATGAAGTTAAATTAGTTATGAGTTTTACTATAATATTATACCAGTCTCTATGCCTGCCAAACTCACTACGCCAAGTTAAGTACTTTTCTATATAAAACATTTAAAAAACGGTAATGCACCTGGTCATGATTTCATGACTGCTCCACTTTTAAAACAACTACCACCCAAAACAATAATCCTATTATCATATATATTCAACTCTATACTCCGCCTTTCTTAATGCCATCTATTTAGAAATATGCTCAAATATTACTCATTCACAAACCAGGAAAACCTTCCGAAAACCCTTCATCTTACCGACCTATAAGCCTTCTGTCTGTAATGGTTAACTATTTGAAAAACTACTCCCGAAAAGAATTTCAAGAATTGCCACCAATAACAAAATTATACCTGATTTATTCGGGTTCAAATCTAAACACTCCACAATCCACCAACTACACACAGTTGTCGATCAAATTTCATTAGCACTCGAGAGCAAAAAAGTCTGCATTGGTATTTTCCTAGGTATTACACAGGCTTTAGACCGAGTTTGGCACCCTGGCCTACTCTTTAAATTAAAATCCTTCTTGTCCGCTCCGTATTACCTACTAATAAAATCTTATCTAAACCAAAGAACATTTTTCACAAAAATGAACGGCGCCCTATCTAACTCTCAATAGCAACTGCTGGTGTTCCCTAAGGCCACCCCCTATGGCACTTTAATAGGCTTGCGTAAGCAGTTTCAATTAGGCTGACAAGGTGTGATTACAGTGCGGGCCTGAGATATTATGGCGCCATTTTTAATGTAAATGTAAGGTTTGTTTTTCTACATCAGAGTTTAATTATTCCTTGACTGATGTGACCATCAGGTTGAGAAATGCTGATTTATACCCAACAATCAGACTAATAATTTTAAATCTCATTTCTTTTGAAGAAAAATTGTATAATATAATTGTAAAACACTTCTGTAGTTAATCATGTGTCTATATAATTTAGAATATATTATAATATAATAAGTATTAAATCATAATAATGTTTAGTTATAAATATATTTTGGCACTGGTCCAATGTGCGGCCTACTGATAATTTACCTATCCTTAACTTTGTTAGGCCAATGTGCGACCTACAGCCAATGTGTGTAATTTACTGCCCAAAGTAAGAATACAGTTGTCGATTGGTTAAATTTATGTCACAATGTGACTATTAATAAATTTGACAAGTGATCAATATTAGGTGAAAAAGATATGATAGTTCAAACCGATGAGTCGTCATTCGAAGGAAAACGCAAATACAACCGTGGTCATCTTCAATATGGTGATATTAGACCAAATGAGGAAAGTGAAAAGTATAGTGATGATACCAAAGAAGATAATAATACAGTGGGCATAAAAAAATATGGCCTGTGGGTTTTTGGACTTTGTTGCAAAAAAATATTTTGGAACGACGTTTATTCATCGTAGACAAACTTGACAAAGAAACCTTATTTCCTATAGTTAAAAACGAAGTAGAACTAGGATGATGAACACATAGTGACATAGTGATGGATGGAGAGCTTATTTGTCATTAAACAATGAAGGATACATCATACTCAATACTGTGAATCATCAAAAATGGTTTGATCCTGATACAAATTCCAATACCCATAGAATGTTTGTGGAAAATACTAAAAAAGCGATATGAAAAAAGATTAAACGGTGCATCTCCATTATTACCTGGCCAATATAAAGAGGAGTGGTGGAAATCCCTTCACCCAAACAAGCAAACTATATTTGAAGAATTTTTATCAAACATGAAAAATGTTTTTATAACATAAATTACGATAAATTCTTATCAGACAAAAAGGATACATTTAACCTTTAAATTTTAAAGGATAAATTACTTATAAGTTATAATAATAACTATTAAAAATGGTATGTCAATAGCTATATGTGGGCCGCACATGGACCGAAAATGTATATGTACATCGCACATTGGTCTGGTGCCTATATTTCTAATACAAATCGTGGAATTTTTATTTAATTTACTATTAATCATGTTTCTTATTAATTTTATATTTTAAAAGTATTTAGGAAACTAAACAAACACTAGTTACAATTAAATGTCTAATTTTTTTTTTTATATATATAGATACTAACAGCACATATATTGTACAGTGTCTTAAAGATCAAGAACCATATAAATTTCTGAGATTCATGACAAAACATGTTAACGATAATAGTAAGTCATTGGACGGTATAATATAATATGTTAATATTCAATTAGTTCAATGTTAATGTTTTTTAACTTAAATTTAATTTCATTTGATTACAGCTATAAATCAACATTAATAATAAGTTATATTTGTTTACATTTCAGCTATAAAATTTAAAAATGTCACTCAGTCATCACGTTTGGAAGGCAGTACTGCTAAAGGTGTCACCATCAAAGTGTATGTGAGACTTCTTAGCGAACGCTGCCCAATAGTTTTGGGTGAAACAAAACAAATGTTAGATTGGACTGGATTTTCAACTACTTTTAGTGTACCTCGATTTATAAAGGTTCCTATATGGAATAACAATAAAATTACTGGACACTTGTCATTGTCGTATGAATTTTCTAGATCACCCATAGTCCAAAATTATGAACCTAACTTTTCTGAAAAACAAGAAGACATTTTAATGGATAATAGTAAAGAAAATCATAAAAACGAACAGTGTAAACCTAATGAAATATCTAATCCAGTGGCTACTATAAATAATAAAAAACTAGAAGATTATAAAGATACCGTTTCATATCAGACAAAAGACCAAATTTATATGTACAATAGACTTTATCCTGAAAGTATTGATGACAATTTTGGAAGTCAATTAATGTTTAACGAATTTCCAAAAATAGTATCAACTAAGGCAATAAAAGATAAAGAAATTCAAACCAACTTTGAAGTTCGTCAATTAAATAAATCTGTGCAAACTCAAATAAAAACTTGCAATGTTGCAATACAAGTAAGTAGTGATGAATTAGAAGATCCTTTGGATAAATCAAATCATTGCGATGTACAAAATATATTTCGGTGCACTCATGAATTCACACTTAATATTGAAAAAAAGTGTGATTCAACATTCAATTATGTAACTTATCGATTTCCAGAATGTGTTACTAATAATATTGGAAAAGGTAAATTGAAATTGTTCGATGTGTTAAAGTTACTTAAAAATTAAATATTATTTGTTTGTTTGTTATTAGTGGTTTCCAGTTGTCGAGCATTCAGAACTTTTGGCAACACTAATATTCTACATTTGATTACATTACCTACAACAATTCCTTTAGAAAATTATTTTTATAATAATTATAATAAAGCTGCTATTGTATTAAATCTTCATAAAAACAATGACGATCCTCCGGAAAAGGTAAGAATTATATATGTTCTATACTTCTATAGTATTATATGATTTTAATAATTTATATTTATGCATGTTTTAGGTCTCACTTCTTATGTCTCATCTAATTGACATGGCGAATAAGTTTAAAAACTCGCACATTACCAAACATTTAATTATAAACAAGAATTTATCTATACCTGAATTATCGCTTGATAACGTCAAAATACAAATACATTACAAAAGAGTATACCACTCATTCCCATCCCTCGAACCTAAACTCAATAACTTGCGTGTTTCAACACACAAGACATTAAAAAAAAATTCAAATATTATTGTCGACTTGACTGAATCTGACTCCGAAGATGCTATTAATAAGACATACACTTTATTAAAACACAATAATAGAATTGCAGAATTGACTGCTGAAAACAGCACACAGACAGATCCAATACCTGTTAAAATGTCACATAATTGCATAACTCAAACAGAAAATAATGTGATACCAGAATTTATAACTATTGATGATGACAGTATTTCAATTAAAAATGAAAAGGAAAGTGTAACGTGCACAGACACGATTGCTATTGTTAATAATCGGCCAAATCGTACAAATGAAAAAATTACACAAGATACTACAATTGTTGATAGAAAATTCAACAATTGTGATATTTTTAAAGCAAAAGTAACCATTGTTGGTGGGTACAATTTACCGATGGTTAAACTAAATGGTGACACTATACCTTCAGCACCGACTACATATGTAATCATGGAAGCTTATGGCAGCAGTAGTTTCTCGACATCATCTGTTGTACAACAAACAAACCCCATTTGGAACAGTGAATGGACGGTTCTTATACCGAAGAATAATTTAATAGAGGTATAATAATAACATTTTTATTTCATGATTATTTATAAACTAATTTGCAATGTGTTGTGCAAGGAGGTCTTATGACTATTTAGAATTTTTCCTATTCCATCTATCCCATAGTTGTCATATTTAATCCATAATTATTATTATTATATTAAAAATTCAGTCAACAAACATTTTATTATCTAACTCGTCATACTAACTATTTTTTTGTGAACATATTACTTAGATAAATGCTTACTGTTATCTATAAATTAAAATATTAGTTTATGCTCAGTCTCAAATAAGAGTAACCTCAGCTGGAGACTGATTATTGTTTGGTTCAGTGGCAGAATAAATTGTTTTTCATGGCCAGCTTTTGTTTCCAACGTTCGGCTGTAAACAAAAATTTGTTTTGCCTTGTTAATCTTGACAAAATGCAAACTAAGTGATTGTTAGAATAATTAAGTGATGTATTCAGCACTCAGAGCTTGTTCGCCACAACAACTGCAGCCGCCGATGTGCACAGAAGCTTGAAATCTGAGGTTACTCTTATTCGAGACAGATTATACTTTTCTTTTATCAACATTTTTTGATTTACTTTTTTAGTAATTACTTTATTTTATAACTGTTACTCATATACCTATAGATATGTTGTTTATAAATTCATAATATAATCCGCCTGCCGAGACTTCTGTCCCCTATGTAATCAAAATATTGAATTAAAGAAATAATCAAAATAATTACTATAACAATTCATAGTTAATCAGTTATAATCTGTCAACAATCATTACAATTTGCTTTCAATTTCGTAATAACTGAGACAACACTAATTTAATATATTTATATTTGTATTTATTGTTCTAACTATAATTTTACTTTTCTTTTTAGGGAAAATGGTTAATATTTGAGTTATGGTGTAAGAAGTATAAAAATGAATATGCAGGACATGATCCAAAACGAGACATGCGACTTGGATTTATTATAATAGATTTATCTAACCTTAAGTATGATCTCAGTAAAAATTGTGGGTTATATGATGTCATAAGTGAAACTGAAGAACACCATGGAAAAATTAAAGTAAATTTTTTGTAATGCCTAATTTTTATTTTAGTTAACTTAACAATTTAAAAATTATATTTTTATTGTTTACCTTAGGTTATGATAAATCAAATTAATTGTGCCAATCCATGTATAAATAACAGTTGTGTACCTCAACCAATTAATGAAAGAAATATTATTCAAATCAAAAACAAAAGTATAAGCCAAAAATCAACTGACGACCTCATGTAAGTTACCTGCTTATTACTTGAGTCGTAATTTAAAAGTTTTACATTGGAATTTTGATGAACATATTTGGCTCTTCAACATATTTTATTCTCTCTCTTAATTCATATTCAGTAAGATTCCTATCTACATAACATAGATAGAATACTTCATTCCAATGTATCTAAACTGAGTTTAAGCCCCTAATTATTATATGTATGTTATAAGTTGGAGAATAAATAGTTGAATAAGTTGAAAGAGTACTTAGTAAATGATTAAAATTATAAAGAAAATATCCAATATATATTTTTTTTTTTTTTTTTGAATAATTATTATTATTAAATATATACTTGAATAATTATTAATGTTTCAAGAAATGAAATGATCGGAAAAATACAAATTGAAGATAATTTTCACTCGGAAACAAGAAATCCTAGAAACACTGTTACAGTGAGAGATGAAAAATTCAATCAACACATAGATCTAACTGAAGATTCCCTCCAAAAGTTCAGCAAGAGTCAATTAAAGAATACAGGTGCCAAATCCAGTTTAAATGGTTGTCTTTATAATAACGATAATATATTTGACAATATGGGAACTATAAGTTCAGTTACGTCTTGGACTAGTTCTTCGGATGATATATTATGTTCAAATAATTCTCAGGTAATTTGTATAAAAAGTACATATTTCTTTAATATAATTTATTAATTAGTAATTATAGATTGTTACCTGTGTATGCATGTATTCATATGAAATACAAAATTGATTCAAAGCTTCTAAATTGCCATATTGTACTTATGTCTTATTTTCATTAACATTTTATTCATATGTATGGTAATTTTGTTTAAAACAAGATCATTTACTATGATAGTTAGTAAATTTACTTATAAATACTATCAATAGTAATGTACTTTAATTTTTTTAAATTTCAGATTGTGAACAATATTCTAAGTAACAAAACCAAAATGAATCGAATAAAACAAATTATTCGAGGTTAAATAATTGTCAAGTACTTACTTGTAGTACATTTAATATTATTTATACCTATTAAATGTAATGAATTGTAAAGTTTCCTATTAATATTATTGTACTCAATTTAATATTTTAATTTTTTGGATTTAAAATAAAATATAACGAGAAGTATAATTTTCATTATGTTTTGGAGTGTTAAATATAAATATTATGTTACCAGTTGATGTTAATTTGAATGTATATTGTTTTATTTTAGCTGTAAACCTTTTCTTTTAGATTCTGAGTGGAACGATGAATGTATTGATTTTACCATGATGTGTTTTTATTCTATTTTTGTGTCTGTCCTCACCTTTTAGGACAGTAAAAGTGCTTGGATTTTCTTCAACAGTATCTTTTCTGATAGGAAAGTGAATCTAGTTGGTACTTTGGGGGGTAAAAAGTAAAAATTTCACAGTAGTTGTCAAAAGGGCCGTGAAAAACAAAAGAAAAATTACAAGTGCTCACCATCCCCGGGCATGGCAGATACCTACGGGTGCCCAATCAAAAATTCTGCCAAACACAACACAAGTAAAAACCCTACCATTACAAACCCTACTACCTACAATCAGCTAATGGCCAGTCGCCGGGCCTTAAAGATGATCAATAAAAAAAAAAAAAAAAAACTAAAGGAACGACTAAAACTACAAGTGTTCCACTGAGCGTGAAAATTGCCCTTGCACACTGGTAAGACAGTGACAACACATCCTCCTAATAGCAAGACCAATCAAATTGTTAAGGGGGTCCATGGTAAAAATAGCGGCTAAGTGAGTATGCTTTGCTATTAATGTGTGAGAAGCCGTGTATTAAATTTTCAAGCTTTTCGACATTAATAAATAAAATTAATTATAGAAAAAAAACTTAACAGATTGAAAATCAAGTATAGAAAATGATAAAATTAACATATGGGAAAAATTTCAAGAATCTACGGTCATTCGATTTTCAATTGCAACAAAATAAAAATATCGCTCCATGGGAGATCGAGTGAAAAACTTCAAACGCCCATAAAAATTCAATTTGACTTTCCTGATAATATATTTTTTTTGAAAAAGGAAAACAGACTTGTGTTAAATCTGAGATATGAAACATTTTTATGAAGTACAAACTCAAAATAATTTTCAAATTTTCGTGATTTTCACGAACTTTGTCAATTATAATTTCAGAGGCTCATGAAAAATTATTGTAGATTTGTCAATTTTTTTTTTTTTAATTGCAACTTACCTAATCTTACGAGGAACTTCCATTCAAAAATCTAATGTTTTTATTTTTGTAGTGAACTATTAAAGATAATGAAACTCTTTATTTCACTCATTCCACTAATGAGAGTCTAACAAGTAACTAAACAACAAAATCCTTTTTCCGGTTACTGATGTGTTGCTAAAGAAAAATCGATTATTTGCAACTGTTATAATTATTAGTAGGTAGGAAATTAAGTGTCAAAATTATTTAAATCCAGAAAAATGGGCGTCTAGTCTGAAAAGTATTAATAAACTTTTGAATTTAATTAAAAGAGCAAGGATGTTGGTTGATAGCTCATTTTAAAAGGTTTTTTATGTAATTTTTTTGTTTTCACATTTTGTTGTGTACATAAAAAACTCTTTAAAATGAGCTATCAACCAACATCCTTGCTCTTTTAATTAAATTCAAAAGTTTATTAATACTTTTCAGACTAGACGCCCATTTTTCTGGATTTAAATAATTTTGACACTTAATTGCCCATCTACTAATATTTATATTACTGAGTTGTTTTATTATTTTCCTACTATTGAAAAATTCAGTTTCTCATTCTAATTTTTTGTCATATTTGTTTTTTATTTGTACAATCTGTATAAAAAGTATTTACAATAAGTACAATGGAGATAATGATAATATATTGGTAATTGGACATGGTTGACTTGTTGAAGAGACTATTCATTAATAGCACTTCATGGCAGGATGGTGGACTAGTCAACTAGTCGACTAGTAGCTCGCGGCACCAGCTACGCTTTAAACGTCGGCCAGGGTCGCCCGGGATTGTTCGGCAAGATAGGTTTTGGATGAGAGGATTTCGGTGATTTGAAAGTTTAAGGTGGAAACGTTTATATAGGGTTTTGGCGACGTTTTTTACTGTCGGAATGAGGAGGTCCCTGTGGAGGGTATCATTTGTAACATAAAAAGGGGCTTTAGTTATCTGCCTGAGGCATTTGGATTGAAATGTTTGGATTCGGTTTATATTGGAGTCTTTGGATGAACCCCAGAGTTGGATTCCGTAGGGCCAAATAGGTTTGAGGAGTACTTTGTACATGAGGATTTTATTGTGTAGTGAGAGATGTTTGGATGATAGGAGGAGGCGAAGTTGTCTTTGACGATTATTTAGTACAAGTCGTTTGTTACGTATGTGGGTAGCCCACGTGAGTCGACGATCTAGGCATAAGCCTAGGTAACGGACATTTTGAGCGGTCGGGAGTGGTTGGTTGTTGAGTGTGATAAAGGGACAGCTTATTGGTCTGAGTGAATGTGCAGTGAATGGATTTGGATTCATTGAGTTTGAACCCCCATTCTTTGTACCATGTCGAGAGGATGTCAAGGTGGGTTTGGATTCTGCTGGATGCCTCGAGAGGGTCATGGTGAAGAGCCAGGATGGCTTTATCATCGGCGAAGTCACCGGTGGTCTCATTCTAATTAACATATTTACTTGATTAAAAATAACCCAGTTGATCCATTACTGCTGGTACTCAAATATTCCAAGCCCTTAAATCCTAAAACCAGTGGTTCACCAAATAATTCACCATAATTTAATAAAAAAAGCTTTATTTAATATAATATACACTACACCCAATTGTTTTTTGAAAGTTAAGGACATGGCTTGAAGGTTTCTCAAAACCACTGATGTCCCACATTATATTTTACAACTATTAATACCATATTATCAATATTAAAATTTTAATTTTAAAATTGATAATAGTTTATAAATATTTTCAGGAAAAACTTAAAGTAAAGTAAATTAATTTTGGTAAAACCATTTAGTTAAGTCATTATAAATAATGAATAGGGGCCGGAATTATATTCTTTTGCATATTTTTTTTGAGGCTATGCAGTCAGACGGGGGTTCGAAATCTTTACAAATCATGAAACCGGTTAATTAATGGCAAAAGTTTTTTAGCATATTTGAGAATATTTCGTACAATAAAGAATATATCGATTAATTTTTATAGATATTCAATATTTTTTGTTGCAGTGGCGTACATAATATAAATTATGTGTCCGATAATAGTGATATGATATTGATACATTATATACGTATTATAACCATCGTATAGCATGCCTTAACTAGTAATGTACTGTAATATTCTGTAGTAGATAAGTGACTTGTCTAAGATAACGATGCCTGACAAGAAATGGAATTATTACTACACTTTAAAAATATTTAGCTCCAGGCGTTCGATTATTACTACACGTACGGAACAACACTGAAGTGTCGCACCGTCACTGTCAGACACCGTTCAACACCAAAAAATTAAGTAGTCAAAAATCTCCCAGTCAGTCAGTACTTAAATGTAACACAGTTTTTAACATAGAAACCATAGAAAACGATCTAATATTTATTAAGGCCCATTTTTTTGTTCTCGTAACATACATCAAAAGTTTGGAAAAATCTAATATGTCTCTGGTTGATTCAATAAATCTAATTGAAAATACAATTGGTCAACTTCAAAAAATACCCGGAGAAAATGGAAATAAAATAAAAATTGATCAACTTCAACAAAAAAGTAAAGGGCTCATCATTTTGAAAAACGTAGTTAAAGTTTTGAATGGAAATAATGAAGTTCAACTTATAGACGACTTTTCACAGTCTATAATTACTGATTTTCAAAATGCTCCCGTGACTTTAGTTGACATCGAACGTTCATTTAGCACTTATAAAAATATATTAACAGACCGTCGTACAAATATGACACCAGAACACATGGAGCAAAATATAGTTGTTAACTGTTTTCAAAAATTGTCGTAATTAAAAATACTTTATTGTTATTAATATAATTTAATCAATTCTTTTTTAACATTTATTATTTTGCTAATTTTTGCATATTATTTTTTATCATATACTTGCATATTACTTTTTATCATATACCTACTTAATTATATCAGTTTTTTTTTGTAATATTTTGCATATAAATGAATATTTTTATTTCAAGAGAATATATTCATAAAAAAGCATATTTTATTATGATTTTTAAAGAATATTTTCATCTTTTTAAGAGAATATTAGCATCTTATTTTGGCTATTTTAAAAGAATATAATTCCGGCCCCTAATAATGACTTATTTTAATTTAAATATAGTACATGCGAAACCTTAACAAACAACCAGGTACATATAAAAGTTTGTTTATGACTTTGCTTCCACATTATACTACATTGATTCTTTCCTTTATTAATTCTGTTTTTGAGGGACTGAATCTAAACAACATTGCTACTGACGCCCAGTGTACTAAATATAGTGTATGGAGTGATCAGGATTTAGCTAAATGTCTCTAATATTGATGAAGTACCGTATAGTTCAAACTCTAATTGATCTAATATATCTAAGCCAAGATCCACTGAGTATAAAATTTCACAGGTTGACAGTAAAGGAAAAAAAATATTATACAGATAAATAAAAACAATAGCCTTTATAATAATTTTGTTTATTAGTCCAATCATGCCTTAGCTTTACCAGTCGATTTTGCTTTTGGTGCAGCCTTGGTAGTAGGTGCAGGTTTTTTAACCTCAGCCTTAGGTTTTGGCTTGGGTAATTGTTTCTTGCACCTCTTGGTAGGTGGAGCACCACCACGTGCTGCAAGTCGCTTTTTATACGCTTCCAATTTCTTTTCATGAATTTCACGCAAGCCCTTAACAGCAATAACCTTCTTGGCCTTGATTTTGGCGGCACGCAACATTTTCTTTTCATTGATGAAACGTTTCAATAATTTTTCACCCTTCTCTGTTGTTGGTCTCTGAAAACATTAACAA